TCCGGACCCAAACAGAATTACCAACAGCTAGATGACAGATGATACCAATTCAGTATATACAACAGGAACATATGTACAAAATCACATACCAAGCACATTGGACTGCTCATTGATGCGCTACCCTTTGAAGAACTGTAGGACTTACAGAAGTACGCCTACAACCCTTCTCAGGTTGACGCTCTAGGTTGGAAAATCGTCGCAGAGTTCACTTGCTGACTTCCTTCTATCAGCTATATCCTCAACTCTGAATGGTAACACGCTCATGTCATTGTATCGTAGAACATAGATGACGAACAAACACACGACGTATCTGGTCAACCAAGCGTAGACACAGAGTAATTTACACCAAAGATAATAGCATTCAGAAAGTAACTTGAAACTAGAAGTGCCTTTATTCGTGCAAGCCAATTTAACAATTACTCTCTCGTTTTCACCTGACTTATCCTCACTAAACTGAGCAATATCTTTCGTCTTTTCAAACGCACCAATACTATCATAGTCATTGCATAAGTCACGTGAGTTCATGGACGTCCACTTCATTGTGGATGATAACACCAACGACGACTGATTGATACCAGTTGATGAACTTAGCGGTGGATCAGAAGCTGTTGTTGCTCGGCTTTCAGAAATTTGTCTAACTGCAAGATTGACACCACTGCTGTCTTTTACTGTCAGCTCCGGTTTAGCACTATCATCTGTTGATAGGTGGGCTACACGCTGATCAATTACACTGACTGTCTGGCAAGTATGCATGCCTTCTGCAACTGCATCTGCATTCAATTCTACTTCACGTTGTAGTTGTACAGAACCTTCGTTCAACTTAGCAGTAGTAGGCATTCCTCCCATTTCATCATGATCAACCAAAGACAAATGTGCACTATCATGAGCATTATCACAAATATTCAATTTACCATCATCTATCTGGTCGACTTCATCAATTTCAAACTCTTTAATAACAGAAGTGTATGATTTGGGTTCCTCCTCACAAATCCCTAAAGATTTTATACCTTCCCTCGGACTAGTAATACCTTGTAAACTTGTGGAGTCAGAACTGCACTCTGAAACTGTAACTCTATTCTGTTGCATTCAATTCAACAATGGCTTACCAGTTCCAACTACAGACTTCTTGACCGCACCGTTATCGTCACACAATTCGGAGTCAGGCCTGGAGTTTACATTTAGCTTATCACTGAACTTGCTCACTGGTTCACAATTCACCTTTGTATGCACCCCTTGCAAACGTGTAAAACACAACCGTGTTTGTCTTGCATCTTGTAACTTATCTGTTGAGGATGTACTATGAAACCGGTTACACTCACTAGGTCTATATGCATTACTAGACATCATGGAGCCTTCTCGATATCCACCTCTCTGAGGCCCTTTCGTCATCAATGATTGCATTTTGCTCTCAGACTGCTCTATTCTAGGGGTGAGATGTAATAGACAGGCGAACTTGCTCAAAGATTGATTGACACATTCTCTTACCAGTTTCAGGATGTCATCGAACTTAGGCTCGATACCCTCATCCTCCATACGGGAGCTCATCTTCACCCACTTCCTTTGCAGTTGAGTAGGTAGGCGTCTTGCCATTACTTCTAGTAGAAAACTCGAGTTGAGGTCACTCATGCGATTCATCGAAATCATTCCATTCTTGTAAATTAGCAAATTATCTAAAAACTCAGTGAGTTCCTGGGAGTCATCCTGTAATTGACCACCATTACCCTTAACAGCCTCGAATAATTTCCCTACAATCATCGAAGGTCTTCCAAATCTTTGACGTAATATGCTCATAGCCTCGTAGTAGCCCTCTTTTGGCTTCATAAACTTACAGCACTGTATAGCTCTTGCAGCAACTCCAGTGCAATATCTCATCAAATACATCAACTTCAATTCATCATTTAATAAAAAACTTTTCAGCATGATCTCAAACTCGTTTACAAATTGTAAATAATCAGACGGGTTTCCATCAAAACATCGTGGTTCAAATTTAGGGAGTTTGATGTTCCTATTATCCCTGAACGGCGAAACAGTAACATAAACCATGTCATGCTTAACATCAGACACATCGTTACAATTAACAGACAAGTCAACATGACTTACTTTCCTGTTTGCATCCAAGACACTCTGTCCCTTCTTTGACCCAGGCATTGTTGAACTTGACCCAATTCCAAAAAGTTCCAGATATTGGTTGTTCAAAGAGGACTTGGCCGGCACCAGGAAAGATGAACGATGACTATCCAAACTTTCATAAACTGTCTGAATCCGCCAGAGTCTGTTTCTACCATCAGAAACCGTCAGTTACGTCTCATAATCCGTTAATGCCCAGCTCTTGCTACGCTCGGGCCCACGCTGTTCCTTGCAGTTTCTCAGAAACGCTTAGTAATAACGAACGAAAAACCAAAAGACCGATTGGCTACTCGAGGATTCTTTATTGTTACACCAACATATAAAAATAATGTTTTTACTAGGGCCTGTGAACAAATATTACAATAATAAATCCAAAATTACTTCTGATGGTTTACTGCTGACTTCTTTCTGAACAGCGACCGATGAGACGATGACTGTCGTATTGATGCCTCCGCGAAAATTGGGGAAGTTGGTTTGAGCAAACAACCATGAATTGATCGTTCAATCTTCAACTGCATTGACACATTATGAATGGCTTCTTAGCTGAAGTTAAGGATTGGTCTGTCTCAAATGGTCTTAAGCTAAATCCAGCTAAATGTAGCACTGTTGATTTCAGCTTGAGAAGTAAAATAGACATGCATGGATTGATCCAATCTCATGATTGTTGTAATATTGATGGTACCATGATAGAGAGTAAGTCAACTGTTTCTTATCTTGGCATTAGTCTCTTTTCAAACGTTTGCTGGTCGTCTCATATTCTTATAGTTTCTAAGAAAGTTTTCCGTCTGACTTATTACATAAAGAAGTTGAGGCACTCAGGTATAACCGATTCTCTTCTCACACAATTTATTAATTCATGTGTTTTGCCCATCATTCTTTATCGTTCTTCATTATTCTTCCCTGGGCTACTCAAGAAAGACCATATAATACTACGAAGAACATTGAGGGCTGTAAGTAGGGTCAGTGCTATCCCTTTGACTCAACTAAATGACACTGTTGTCAATAGGCATATGAATTCTTGTAAACACTTAGCTAAAGTTATCTTATCTGATAGTGAACATCCTCTTTATTCACAATTGTTTCCTTGTATCTCTTCGGGTAAGACCAGAAGAAATTTTGTAAACATTTATGCTCGTACTACAAAATATAAAAATTCGACCGTACCATATTTGGCACGAGTATTGTGTGAAGAGATACATATCAGAAAAGAACTTTTACAACTTTTAAATCATTAACTAAACTATAAAATGTAATGATGCATATTAATGCACGTGTTATTTGTTATATTATCTATTTATTATTCACTATGACCGAGCAATGGTGTGATTTTGATCAGGTTTTATTTTTTTCCTATTAACTAACAATAGCTTAACATTTTATACATTTATATAATTAAAAACAGAGCTAAACCATTGCAATATGTAAAAGAAACGCTGAAAATTCCATGCTGTAAATTGTTATTGTTGTGGAAAAAAGTGATCCTATTATATTATATATTATAATATTGATCGTTCAATCTTTAACTACATTGACACTCCTATCCTTTTGAAATTCTCAGTTACTTACAACATCTGAGTAGCCATAGCATACCTTGTTGTGGAGGATCTACATGCTGACTGCAGTTGTCTGACAATATGCATTCCGGTATTTCATACCAAACAGACATTTTTGTGAGGACAGACATGATCGAATAACAGCAGGATGGGATAATCGACGCTACTTGAGGTCACTGAGTAGGCGTCAACGAGAATTAAATAGCTTCACTCCATCTTAAGGTCCCGTGAATTCTGCGAAAATCGGCGTCTGTGGTTTTCCTGGAGGCTGAGCTCCAGGTTTTCATCTGGGTGGATTCCTTATACCGGCTTGGCAACCGTGACGCCGTTAGCAAATCCTATTTTTTCCGTATTCACGCATGACCAATAGTCGTGCTCCTGGTGATAGACTTCATACATGCGATAACAAGAAATACTGTGTGGAATTGCTTAAGAATTTTTGGGTGTAAAGTTTCTGGCACAATGACGCATTCTCTGAGCATCAGGGACTCACTACTGGTACTGATGGTGTGATGACGACAAGATAGCTGCACAAGGTTTGTAACTGAAGCTGACCTTGAACTGCGAAGCAACTCTGAGGTGTTCCTCACTGTGAGTCCGACTGCCGGAGATTCGTTATGTAGGTTAGGTTTTTCGTTAGAATCACAGAGCAGACTGCGTGCCCTTCGTCAGTCATGGGGAATGATTTATAGGTCTAAGACTAGACAGAAGATATCTGAGATCACTGAGTTAGTGATTCCTTAACCATTTCCCGGTGATCCGCTGCTAACCGTTCGGCTCAACTTTAGGCCGTTCTGCCATCCACTAGCTGTAATAGGCTTTGGTACAGCACAGATAGGGTTGTGTATGACGCCACTGGAATAGAGTGCGAAGAACCGGATAGAAAGTGTGAATAAATGATCAACGCAACCTGAAAGGAACTCGTATGAACTTCATCTACTTGTAAATGGCCACTAGTTAGTAACTTAATTAGAATCATGTTTTTTCTTCCATATGCTTTTAAGGCTACTGGAGAAACAGCGAATAAAACGTAGCAACTTGAGGACCAACATTTGATGATCTTTTCTTTACTGACCAATCAAACGCACACAGACAGTCAGAGAGCGGTACATTTCCATTTTGTTCATTTGGGGTGTTTGGTAATTATGTAACCACCAGGCTTTCTCTCCCGGAGAGTATCGTTGCTACTGCCTCACTTCGTGAAGCGTCGGGCGTTGATAAGGCATATCCCCTATTTGAAGTGGCGCCTCTGGCTTAACCTTGACGGCATTTGCGCGGTTTCGTTGATTCGAGTTGGAGCTAGTCGTCATTGTGATAAGGATGGATGTAAGTGGTTGTGATTTCAGATGGGTTTTGTTACATATCGTTCGCTAACTAACTCATTAGCGTTAATCTGCTTTGACCTTATTCAAATAAAATTTTGGTTAAGTTAACGAGCAGCGAACTCATCGACGGTTATGACCGTTTCGGTGACTCTAAAGAATAGCGGCCCAAACCGAAACGACCTTTCAACGCAAAAATGACCTTGACAGGGACAACTTCGACCAATGAGAAGGCTCAAAATGAAAGGCGCATAATTGTAAAAAACGGTTTATATATAAGTAATGCAGTCATAATAAATAGTTACAAAGGATAACGTTCGCGTATATGTTGCAAAAAAACCTCCCAGTTTCTCATAGGAGTCTTCATTGTCATATTAAACCAGTTTCTATACATAAATTCATCTAGATAACTGTAAATCATTGGATTTCTTGATCCATTAACAGCTCTTACCCGTCTTTTCAGACGACTCCATAAACTTTCGATGGAATTAGTGTGCGTTCCATCCACAGGATTCCTGAAACCCTCCGTGTGATTGACGACATGATGAATATACCCATGATTGGATAATTGACGGTAGGCACTCCATTCATCTGTGTGAATAGTCGTCCCAGGCAGCACCAAACGCTGAATAATAGGCAATAATACACCTGCACTGCGATTTGGAATCGCCTCTATATACCCTTTTCGTAATGTTGTGTCGTATATACCCAATATCCACTGCTGGTTGGATTGTAATCTCCCCCGGTTATATTTCCTTTTTATCAATACAGTTTCATCAATATGTACGATTACACCGACTCCTCCAAGAACTTGAGTCAGACTGTTCATTTTCCACGAGGAAACATCTCTGCAGTAATTGTACCACTGCACTGCCGACACCTCTGAATTTTCTGTTTCGTAAGCCGTAGCTGTAACTGGTCTTTTGAGGACCCAGAAGTTACATATCATTAAGATTTTCGTTAACGGTAGTTTAGACCTAGAGAAAAAAGTTCCTAAGGGATCTGTAAACTAAAAAACAACGACAAACCATCTCGAACCGATTTCCTCCTTCGGCACTCAATACATCTGTATACAAAGCCATCGATGGCCTCTGCTTATATTTGTATATGCATAACTCCTCCGCACTGGCAAATTTTCGACAAAGCTATCAGTCCGTTATCCAAACAGCAATCGAAAACATCCATGATTACTTCCGAAAATGATACAGTCAGCTGATTCCTTGCTCAAGGTCACTTTTTTTTTCGAAGGTCGTTTCGGTTTGGGCCGCTATTCTTTAGAGTCACCACTGAATAGTTTCTTGAATAGTTTCGGAAGAGGCGAAGGGATCGATAAGGCGAGATTAAGCGAACTGTAATTGCATATCAATTTATGGTCGTGGAAGGCAGTAATTTGTAAGAAAGTGTAAAACGTTGACAAAGACAAATGACGATCGATTACTTGTGAATGTAGTTCCAAAAGTTTAGGAGATAAAAATAGTTTGTCACCCTGTTTCCTTAAGCATTACTTAGAAGCAAATAGAAGGGTACTTATTAGGTTATATATATGTATACTAAATACGTTGTACTTCACATTCGATATAACATATTCAATGCTAATCTGGGAGGTAAGTTTTCAGTTATGGAGGTAATGCATCAAAACAGTGGGCGTGATTGCACTTCTTAGTCGGTGTGCTCAAGTGAACTCATCGAGACTACTTCGTACCATGAGTATAGCATACTGTTTTAGTGAACTGATAGAGTGGCTACACTGCGAATTGTTCTGTATGCATTCATTCATGTTTTCTGTACGAGTGGCGTTCATACTTTTGGATATCTATCACTCATTAGGTTTTTCGAACATGAGTGTGTTCACTTCTATTTTATAGCAGTTAGTCTCTTAAGCATTAGCAACACATATGTGGGTAGTCGATTGGCGAGATTGAATTCTTCCGCTACGACTATTTGGCATCTTCAGTTAACGTAAGAGTTTCTAGGTTACTCAGATAACACATGATGTAATACTCGGGTTTTCAAGTGGTCACTGAATTAATTTAGATCAGTCTATTCAGAACATTTAAGGAGGGATATATTGAGGTTTGCACGTATTGGATCATTTCTAACATCTCAAAGCCTCTTGAGGATAACGGTTTGAATAAATGAGCTAGTATCAGGCTTTGGTCAAAAAGTAGGATAGTACTGGCTTCTTCACTCAGAGTTTTGCAGATATATGGTGGCAAAATTATGCAGTTGTCTTGTTGTGAACCGAATATTGTCAGGGTAATAGGATGCTGTGTGGTGTAATTTCTTATGAGGTGATGACTGACTTAATTCCTATTTGAACAATGCAAGAACTACAGTTTTAGCAGAATAAAATGGTACCATCTTTTATTTCGTTGCCTTCTCGTCAGCTGCTTACATGGCAACTAGTAATGTTCACATAATCTTACAATCCAAGAGATTTATATTCATTCCAGCTGAATGGGGGTGTCATTGTAGTATGTGACAAACCAACTTTTATCTATTTCATACTTGTCCGCTCTATATGCCTCCGTGTACAGCATTCTTTTAGCCGAAGTCAATAGCTGAGTAATACACTTTTTTGACGAGATTATTGGAATGGTAACTATTTTGCTTTTTTGTTATGTAATTCCTTGAATTGTGCAACATATATGTGAATTAAATGTTTCAACAATTACACAGGATATGTTAAAATTGAATGTGACATTATCAAGAAAACTGAAGGTGAAAGAAGAGATACAGGCTGATTATCTTGATATGATTGCACACCTCGAATCCGTTATTGCTCAGCTGCAGGAGGAAAAGGCATCAACGATCTCAAATGTTAAAGACAGTTCCATATTGTCATACTGTCAAATTGATGATTATGAAACAGAAGATGCGGAAGTCACTTCATTGACTGAGGCGCTTAATGTTACTAAGAAACGTGTAGCTCAGTTGACGGAACAACTGAAGGCTCTCGAAGAAGTTGCAGCTTATAATGATGAGGTAAGTATACTTGTTATGCTTGGTGTTGGTTTGAAAAAGAGATTTTCTTTATCCGTACCGAAAGTTTAGGTAGTCCGTTAGAAGGGATTTTTTCAAACTGATGAGACATTTGGTTTGCCTCATTTGGAATGTTGAGTATTTGGGGAGGCTTTCTGTTGTGTATGATTAACTCATGAAGTTTATGCTGTACTTCTAGTGGGACAGACACGCTAATACAGAGCATCTCACGAAAGTTTACTAGTTCTAGGTCACAACATTTCGTTGATTCAATTGAGGCTATTAGTCTAGCTGTTTAATTGTCTTGTATTGACCTCATTTCAGTAGCAAGAAGCTTTGAGATGTACATTTATGTGTTGTTCAAACCTTTAATTGATTCCTCCGAATACCCTTGTTTATATAATAATGTTTGCAGCATGTATCCTAGGCTAATAACATGATTTCGGCATAATTTCTAGCCACACAGACTGACCAAGTCGTTGTTCTGTGATGGTTTTCGATGACTTAGTCATTTGGGAATAAGTTTCGTATTCCTGATCATCTCTGTATAGATTTTTTCTAGGATTACCGTTGCATTTCGTTTGTAAGTGTGTGTATTTACCGCAGAAATTGATTTTGTCATGAAATAGGTTGTATGTGAAGTGTTTAACATCTAATGTATGCTGCGTGTTAAATTTATTTCTTCAAAATTGTGTGTATTGCCTTTTCAGACTTCTGACAACGATGATGAGGTGGCCAGGAGTGCACAGGCAGATGAAGTTAAACGGTTAAAAGATGAAATATCCAAGGTGAAAACTACTATGGAACAGGAGAAGTTAAAGCATTGTCAACGAATCCGTGAGCTAGAAGAGGGTCGTGATAGTTTGCAGAAAGATGTCACTCAACTGGAACGTCAACTGAAGGTATGAGTTAATGACATTAAAGTTCTTGGAATATGCACCACTTGTCTTAATCGTGTCAATCGATCCAGCTTGACAGTGTGGTTGATTAATTCCCCTCTTGACTCGATAATTCACACCTAACAGCATTACTACCACATTGCATCACCTTACAAGGAAGATTGATTGCTGAAAGATAGTTATCCTTTTTCAAGTATGCCAGTTTCAACGATGAAATATCAGGTGTAAAAAACGATGGCGTGAACTAGTGAACTGTACACACGTCATATGGCGGATACTCAGATATCACGTCTATGCAAAAGATGAGGGTGATTTGGAAACTGTGAGATGGACCTTTTGTAGCGGGACCAACGTTTTGTAAGCGTTTTCCAAACAAATGAAGTGGTTAGGACACTTGACTATCTAGACTCCCTCTTCTTAAACTATGGATAAGTGCAGATTATATCATCTGCCTAATTTCAGTGTGAATGCAATTATATGACAGCATACGAAGAGTTTTCACCTCTTCATTTATAAAGGTATTAAAAACACAGAATCTTGACTATTGGTCGTAACCAAAGTTTGGTTTGCAGAAGGGCGTGTTTGACAGACAGCCCACGTCACTTTTATTCGTAGGATAACATCAATCCAGTAGTGAGTTGTTTGTTATATATTCCAAAGAAGCTGTAAGTTGTATATCACAGTATAGTTGCGTTTATCTTAGTGTAACAGAAATTCTATCCCCTTGCATTGTATATAATCAAAATTACGAAATATTTGGTTTGTGTATTTTATTTTTATTATTTTTGATTACAGCTTGATCCCACACTGTATTTTGGTACAAGTATGGAATTTTCAGCATGGATATCGGTAGCCGAAATTTCGCAGGCCGACCATAGATATCAGGTGTGTGTCGGGAGAGGATCGAACCCCGGACCATGCGCATGGTCGGCGAGAGTCCTAACGACTGTGCCACCGATACAGATAGATAGCTTGGGCTACTTCAACGGGATACATTTTTGTGTATTTGTTGTAGACTACGTGATTCTAGATTAATGAAACATTTCCCCTTTGAACGTTTATTTCTTTTTCACTAAGGAATGTGAATCAAAACTATTGGATACTCAAACTCAGTGCGAGGTCTTGAAAAGCCAACCCGATTCTACGAGAAATGAACGCGGGAATTCTGCATTTTCTGAAGTTGGTTTATGATCCAATGTTTTGTTAAGTATTTTTCTCAAAATATAATGTGTATGTATTTCTAACATTTAACGGGAAGGAGTTAAGTCTACGTAGACGGCTTACTAAATGACTGACTTCGTCTTCAACGTATAACTTCTCAGGAAAGTGCAGCAGCTTAAGTTTTTACACTTCATATCGCATAATAAGATAGAGGGTGAAAAAATCCAAGAAAATATAATGAACGGAAATGTAGTAGAGAAAAAATAAGTACATGGAGAGTAATGAAAAATTGATGTATCTGCTCTGTGTATGTATCACATAGAAGAATTTTGAGCCACGATACCAACAGTCTGAAGTCATCTGTTCTTACTATCTTGTAGACTTCAAACGGGCAGTCTCCACCTCCCCACTTGGCTTGAATCAACAGTTAATGACTTCATGGATTCATGTCTTGTTTTGGTTTGACGATTCTTTACTTTTCTACAGCTTAATTCTATGTCAGTCAACATTCCCAGATTGGGATTCCGATGGATTGCTGTGCGTAACACGTGTCCTAATCATCTTAATCGATGTAGCTTCACAACCTCGTCGATTTCCCATGTTTATCTAACAGTTGGTCTTTCCTCAGTATTCCTTCATTCATCTCATTTCATTTGATTACTCATTCAACACGGGAGATGGAAGGAATACGTGAAGTAAGGACAACCAGCTCGTTTAGGTCTTCCACTTTCACAGCCATAAAGATAGGGGGAGTAAAGTGTGAAGTAGCTATGCGTCCTTCGATTGATAGCCGGATCACGTCTATGTGAGGGATGACATAAATTACCGAATGCCACACGAGCCTTTTGTATCCCTGTTGACACTTCGTCATCATTCAGCCTATTAGACCTAATGTGACCCCTGATCACACCATTCGTTGTTCTTTATACTAAGAGTCGGTACAGACTAGTCCTGCAGGATTATCTCACATTTGACATAGCATGTCAAAAACACCAAGATTTAAGCTCAAAGTGTTTAGAAGACTACATTTTGTCAGTGTTTCATTAAGAAGAACAATGTCATCGGCATGGCGTAACTATTCTCTGGTAACAAATCACTCCCTACGTCGTTACATCAGTTAGTGCATCTCCGGTGAAATTAGAGAAAAATGAATATATTGTGCATCTTTGATGAATACCATTGGTTGTTGTTATTACTTCATATGATAACTCTCCACAAGCTCTTACAGGGCTGAATGAGTTGAAGTGGACTGGTGCGATACACTTTCTCAGCACTCCCTTAATCTAGAAAAAAGAACAGATTGAGCGGAGAAATATATTCCCTTTCATTTAGTTTCAGATCACATCGGCTGGCTCCACACTAATATACTGTTTTTTACATCAAAATGTTTTACCAGTCAAGTGGTTATTCTAGTTATTTAGTTTTAGGTATGGGTGGGGGTGAGGTGACATTAAGAGGCTGTTGTTTTTTCTAAATGCATAAATGGGAATTCGGAAATTACTGAAGTTCCCTTAATCGTCAGACATTACCACACTACCTCTCAGTGGAGAAAGTGGTATTCCGTTTTCGGGTCAAGGAACTAGGCATATGTTGCTGAACATTGGTAAGTGTGTCTGTGTACAAGAGTCTGTCAAACGTTGGAAATATGGTGGTAAGTAACATTCATCCAAGTCTAAAACCTGTATGGTTTTCATGGGTCTGTCTCTCCTGAGCAGCATCTAGTCTACGCATGACTATTTAACATAAAATTTTAGACATTATGTTAGTAAGGTATATCCCTGTACAATCATCATTGTAAACTCGAGTACTCAACGACGCCGAATGCTTTAATATAAAGCCAACTGGATGATTTTAAGCAACTAACAATAGTGTTCCTCCTTCCGAAATCTCCATTAATGGTATCAGAGTTGATGAATGGATGGATAGGTAGATAGATAGATAGAAGACGTAGAATGTTCCTTTAGAATAGTGAGGAGAAAGGAAGAAGATGGATGGAAGGTTATGGAAGTGTGTAAGGGGTTATCACCTCCCGGCTGATCACACTATGGACAGAAGTGGGATTCTTCTCGGAATACCTGGAAAAGGAAGAGCATTAGTGTTGTGTGATTGATTCCAAAGCCCTGGGTGTAACTCCTTTAGACCTGTTACACACACCCTTGCTTCAACTCGTAACCGTATGATATCTAAAGTCATTCATATATTAGCATGGTGTGATATATCTTAGTGGTTTGTGTTTTTATAAAAGTTACATGCTGTTTTCTTAACACAGTTGTGGCTGTCAGTCAAAGGAAATGTGTTTTGCTGCATTTCAGTATAATATTTGAATGTAGTATGTTTGAAAAGTGTCATCCTGTGTATATAAATAAATTTTAGCTTGAAGATCGACGCCGACGTGCTGAAAAACTGATTGTTCGACAGCGCGAGACGATCAGTCGATTGAAATTAGATTTGCATCGTTCAGTAACAGAAAATAGGCGTAAATTCGTAAGTTATGCACAAGGTGAAAATGTTTCCTTATTGATGACTACAATTTGTTTGTAACTTCCAGTCTATTTTGTTTACTGACATTCTGATTTACGTTGTACTTTCACAACTCGGATATTTTATTTATAAGAGGTGAAGATAGGCGTTTCGGAATGACGTTACTCATTTGTAAGATAATCTGAACATTATTCGAACGCATCATTTAACTTTTAAAAGTGCTCACAACTGTGGTGAGAGCTGGCTGTTAGTCAAAATTTGTGGACAGCAGTAAGTTACGTCAATGTTTATGTCCCCAATATTGGTCGTGAGAAAAATGGGAGGAAAGGCTTTGCGTAGGCGGATACAGTTAGCATTTAGGTGGTCTGACATTCAAGAAACAACCACAAAGAGATGTAAGGTTAGCTTTCTGTGAGAAACAACCGTTCAGAAGACTGTTTTTCTGCTAACAACAATCTATAATAATGTACATGAAAATCTATTGATTTACTTAATAAACGATCCGTTGCCTGGCCATTGTCTTCTGTTGTTACACAATTATCAGATACAAAAACATCCTGCACAAGTGAGAGCAATTGAACGAACACTCATCAGCGGGGAAGTCTTCATCTCAGAGTAGGCTAGTTCCGTATTCGGTGAAGAGAATTATGCAGGATGAAGCTTTATGAAAGAGTGCGGAAGTTTTAATTGGGAAGTATGAGATTGCCGTTGTTGATGCCAAAGCTGATGCAGGTTGATGTATATTACCTTAGCTCACGAAACATTATAGGATATAATTTTGTAACGACAGACGACAAGGGTCAGGCAACAGATCGTTTATTGAGAAAATCAAGAAATATTGATAGATTTTTATGTACACTATTATTAGCGTTATTGTTGTTAGCAGAGAAGTAGCGTCTTCTGATTGGTTGTTTCTTGCTGAAGGTTATTCTGTACTGCTTGTGACGGTTTCTCAGAAAGTTAAGCCGTCTATCTGCGAATCGTACTTGCACACATTAAGTCCTGTGTGAGTAATTGGAAATTTCCGCAAGGTTAAGTTTTGTTATTGTTTTTTCTTCTCATGACCCCGATTCGGGAACTAACATCGACGTAAATTGGTGTCTGGAATTTTTGTCTTTCAGACAGCTCTCACCACAATTTAAGTGTTATCATAATGGTAATTGTAGAACACGACTTAAGTATTGTCGGTAAATTCTCATCAGGCTATTAGGCAGGGATGGGGGAGGAAATTAACTGTTGTCGCATAGCGATTAGATAATGTGATAATGATGAGTTGTGAAACTGAGGTTAAAATCTACAACTACAGCACAGAATGATATTGATAATACGGCTAGAATGAAATTATAATAAAATATTTTCTATAGTTTGGTTTGTAAGGGTTAATTTTGTTTTTTACGAGTTGATGATGGATTGATATCAGTTAGAGAACCATGGAAAACCATCCTAGTTTAGAAATCATCGTCAGTACGCACCCACTGCCACGGTTCGAACCCAGGACCTTCCGGTTACAAGGCAAGCTCGTATACTATTCAACCACTGGGACCCTATGTAGTGGCTCATGAATTCTAACTTCTACCAATTCGTGATTTACCGTGACCCCAACCATTGTCGTAGGTAGGACATCCATTGTCACATGTGACATCAGGATGGGCCTCATTGGTCACGACTTCTCACTAGAACTCCAGGAAACTCCGTCCTCCAGCAAGTCACTGGCGAGCATTAGATTAATTTTCTATAGTTTGGGTTAATTTTGTTTTTTACGAGTTGATCACGGATTGATATCAATTAATGAACTTTATTACACCTTAACCTAACCACGTTGGACAATGCCCGAGAAGGACGACACGGTGGGCTTTCCGAATCTTTCTACCTATGTAGCTGTCTCCATGTGAACAGTTAAATTTGTAAATACACCTTGAATTGGTCAGGCTCGGTTGCTTATCCCTCACCTGCGTAGGAATTAAACAATGAATGGCAAATTTTAAACACAATGTTGCGGCAAAAAATGTTTTAACTATAATTTTCCTCGAAGTTTCGATGTCAGCAATTCAGTTGTTGTGTCTCCTTTAAACGCTAAGGTCATGTATATACGTCCCTTTTGCAGCATATGAATGGATATATCACACAGCGAAACAGTATAATTATTTACTGGATGACAAAGTTCCGAACACAAATTGTTATTGTTCACAATCATATCAATGATAATCACAGAAGTTCGTAACTTTAGTTTTATAGTTTTCTTTATTCTTGCCTATTTTTGTGGGGGTTAATAGAATTTTCCAGATGTATGAGTGGACAGGTGTTGAATCAACTTGCAGCTGATTCGACAAATAAAGCTTCCGTGATCGATCTCTCCCTGCATTCTATTATATTAGATCTTAGAATTATCAAATAGGAAAAAAGAAAACTATAAAACTAAATTTTCGAAGTTGTATGATTATAAATGATGATATGATTATGAAGAGTAACAATTTGTGTTCGAAACTTTGTCATCCGGAAAATAATAATACTGTTTCACACAATGTGTGATGTATCTAATAAACAAATTGAATATGGAATTACTTACTACCACAGTGCCCAAGGTTTACGTATGTATCTTATCTGCACCATTTGCCGGCATTTCTCTATCTATCTATCTGTTCTCCTCATGGAGACGTTGAAAGATTTTTCGGAGTATCCGTTGTCATATAATCAGTTTTATATTTTCCGTATTTCATAGCCCACAGTGTCGATTGTGCAGATTTTTCTAGCTTGATACATCATGGTACGGATGATAAGATTTTGTTTGTATGTAAGAGGAACAAATGGTCTGAAAAGTATGTGTGTGTGCGTGTATTGGCCAACCCATAACTCCTTGCAGAAAATACCCCGCCCCCGCTTAATACTATCATCTTGCCTTTCTGTTGGGCAGTCTTTCACCAAACATATCTGTCTGTTTTCGACATAGAACTTTGCACGGATGTGCATCAGTTCAATTCGCCACACTCCCTTGTAGCACACAAAACAAGAGTAGAAAGCAGAAGAAATGCATCATAGAGACAGTAAACAGAGGTGTGAGACAAAAGGAATAGTAATAACGAAGAACAATATAGTTTCATTGGAAATCAGAAGTCACAAGGAGTGGATGCATCTGCGCTAGCCATTGAGAATGATCACTTCGAGCCATATCACCCATTGTTTCCAACCATTGGTTTTTACCGTCCCCAGGACTCCAACCAGTCAGGAAGTTTACACCTTCCTACGTGACTGGCTGGCTTAAACTAACTGTTGTGGATATCATTGACTGGTGAAGCCATGTTTTGGTTTGACGACGACGTGCTAGCTCTTTTGCAGCCTGACCCTGTGTCAGCTAACATTGGCCGTCCGTGGAGGAAGGCGATGACTAAGCATACGTAACACATGTCCTAACCATCTCATCCATAATTGATATTGTGTCACAAGTGATAATTTCAGTATACATGGTATTGAACAATATGGCCTGTGATTATTTAACTAAAGTTCTCAGTTCTACTTGGGTGATATATGTTCACTTATTGTATGAATGTAGTGTTGTGTTAGCTATCGTGGTTTACACTATATGACGCTGTAAATTTTTTTTTTCATCTTCGATGTTTACGGCTTTTTTCTCTCATCAGTTTGAACTTCCTATATGTACATAATCCTTTCATTACAGAATGAATATATTGCGAAAATGGCGAAAAAATACAACAATGATGATGAAATAAATAAATTATTAGCTGAAAGAGAGAGTTTACTCCAGGAGAATGCGAAACTTATGCATGAAGTACAAATTTTGGAAGAAATAGAGGTTTGTTATTGTATTTGCATTTGATTTATTGACTTGTTATTGATTTGTTCAGTATTGAATTTTTTATATATATTATCGATAGAGAATGAAGAAAATATACTGACTAATTTTGAGACTGTTTAAAAATTCGCTTTAGTAGTAATACATTTGACTTTGTCTTTATTCGACTGTTATAAGAATTTTGTTTTTGGGTGAGATATTAATTCACCTGTGTTTATTAGCATGACTTGGTGGTTCTCCTTTCAGTGGCGCAACATTATTATTTCTCTAAAGCCATCATCTGAAGTGAATACAGGTATGTTGTTCCCATTTCTGTTCAATTTCGTCATAGATGTGCTCATGAACTTAGTCCTAACTGACTTCAGCCACTAGGAAATAATCTCGTTGACTTAGAATAAGCAGATAATGTCGCCTAGTCCTATCTAGGTGAAAACGTTGACAAAATGCAGAGTCTTCTGAGCACCTTGAGCTGAGCAACGATCTTGAAACTTGTGGCGTGGAGTTCGCTCCTTTCAAATGTTAGATGACTGGATTACATTGACTATCCCTGGCTTAAAGACAAAGGGTAGGGAAGTGGCTGGTGGAGCGTGTTGGCTTATTTGGGAAGCTTCATCAGCCAACGCCAGCGAACTGAAATCTCAGCACGGATACAGAAGATTCGTTTGGCATTTGCCTGCGAACTGACGCCACCTCTGGTGTAGACGTCATATCCGGTAGGCTATCGGTCAAAAGAAGTGTGCACTGCTCGGCAGTTCGCACAGTCCTCCCTACTGGTTGTCTGTGAGATATGGCTATTGCAAGTGGAAGACATGAAAAGGCTGGCTAGCAGTCTTTGATCATAAGTGTCTGTGTTCTATCTCCCGTGTTAGGTGATATAATAGGGTGAGTATTGTTGAGGTTAGGCTTCTGTCGAGTACTAGTTAAGTTACATCGACTGAGATGGTTAGGAGATGTGTTACGCACACTTATCGATCTGATTCCTTGACGCGTAACATTAGCTGGGATAGGATGCGCTCTGAAAAGAGAAAGCTAGTAGTGATCAAACCAAAACTTCAAAATCAGTTAATGAAATATATAACAGTTAGTGTGAGCCACGTAGGGAGGTGTAGAGTGGCTTCCTGGCTGTAGTCCTCTCGATTAAAAGGAGCGATGGCTGAAGACAATTAGTGATGATATGGTTCAAAATGTTCGTTGTCAATGGCTGGCGCACATGCATTCTCTTTTTTTTGATTTGTCATAGCCAATAAAACTCAATTGTCCTTCCATATTATTATTATTTATCTTGCATACTTCTATATATTACCTGTATTTTGAACCTCTATGTTTACTATCGTTTCTAACTTTGTGTACTACTTGGAGGGAGAATGGTGACAACTGGGACTGCTGCACATGTCTGCAAAACCCTTTGTTGAAACCTGTCAGTGATGCACAAGTTTCAGATGATTCTGTAGGAATGTTGATTCCACCACATAGATGGTATGGCTTTTATACATAAGATTCAGGTTGCATTCGCTCGTGGGATCGGAGAGTGATTAGCTTCTGGTGTGTAATTTCATTGCATACGTATTATTTAAGTAATATACAATTAGGAGGAGGGTGCTTGGCGTATTCGATTTATTGGAATTCGTAGAACGAATGCTGTGAACACTTTTCGTAACAGCTGTACCGGAAAATGAATTATTCGAATGCGTACGCAGCCCACAATTATAGACATTCTGTTGACACATTGTTAGTTTTTCCCCATTTGAATGGTACTCGTATTACTTTTGAACAAAGGAAGAAAAAGCATTGGCGCAGAATAATCTGGATGAATTTTATTTCATTGGTTCTCATCAGCTGCGTACAATCTTTGTCCTCCATAAGCAAGCATACTGTCAGAGCGTCATAGCTAAATGAGGCGTTGAGATTTGCAGGATGTCTAAAGTGTTACGACATACATATATATTTTTTTGATTTTTGATTTACAGCTTGATTTCACACTGTATTTTTGGTACAAGTATGGAATTTTCAGCATGGATATCGGTAGCCCAAATTCTGCAGGCCAACCATAGATATCAGGTGTGCGTCGGCTTGGGCTCGAACCCCGGACCATGTGCATGGTCGGCGAGAGTCCTAACCACTGTGCCACCGACGCACACATATATATCTTGGTAGAGAGAAGTTTCTTGAAAAAAATTCATTGACAGTTGTGTTGTTGGAGTGGTAACAAAAGAAAATTAGCGATAGTTACGTAATTAGATAAGAGATCAAAATTGTAGAATTTCGGTGCACATGAGGTCAGATGAGAAGTTGATAATGTAATACAGTGAGCAGAACTCAGAAGAACAAGAAAAATTATCTCTTAAGAGATTTCAGCGAAAAATAAAAGGAGGGGGTGGAGTGAATAGATGAGCTAACAAAATTAGAAAACAAAGAGTTACCAAGAAATGAGTCACCAGGGTAGTTCAAGTCCAACAACCAATTCTTTTTGGACACATAAATCAGGCTTCAATCGTTTTATTGCTGTAGCTTCAGCAAACCTGAGGAGACTTGAGGTACTTTGTCTGTTAACGATTTTGAATGATTCCAGCACATCTCGGTGTCCTGTATCAATCAGGTGTTTGGCAATTGAAGAGCTTGAACAATGCGGTCCCTTTAACCGGAGGCTCCTTGGTACATGTCCGCAGAATCTGACGTAGGCCCTCCTCTCTGTTCTTCCAATGTAACTGCTCCCGCAAACACATGTGAATTAGTATACACAGTTGGAGGTAACATGTGAGGGGTACTTGTCAATCTTTGACTGTACCAATGAAGAGGTTATTCGGGATAGAAAGAGAATAATAACGCTGCAGGATACGTCCTAGACAGGGCTGCGCTTAATGTTTTATTTACCATCCTCATAATGTCGTCGTCCTTGTAGTCGAGTTTGATGAAAATAGCCTTCTTACTGACTGTAGCTGTATCAAGCTTCTTGAGCTCATTGTTGCCATATTTGTTAATGAAACTTTGTGAGTAACCTTTTTCTTTCAAGCATTTTCCAAGAAGCATTAGTTCACTGTCTAGTTTGTTTGGTGTGGTGAACATATTCTCTTCGCTCTAGAGAAAAGCGTTTTCACCAGCGTTCGTTTGTATCTCACTGGTCAGAAGCTGTTGAAATTCAAGTAAAGACTACTCCATGTATCTTTACAATATACAGATCTTTCGAGTGTCCGGTCGTATTTCTCTGCAACTTTACGTCCAAAAAATGGAGTTTTTCATCGTCTTCAGGTTCCATCGTGAAAGTGATGCTTTTGTGTACATTGTTGAAAGAGTCTAATATAGACGAAGCGTGACTGAAATCATTGCATACAATGAATGTGTCATCAACGTATCTATAGTAGGCTGTTGTTTCGCCAATTGCACACTTGAGCTTTGTCTGCTTCAGACTGGCCATAAAGATATCAGCTAATATCAGGCCCATTGGCTTCCTCATTGCTACACCATCAACTTGGCGATACATTTTGTTGTCAAACTGGAATTGTATATCATTAGTGCATAACACGAGAAGTTGCTTAAATTCCAGTTTTGGTAGAGGAAGAAGATCAGAGTGTTGACAGAGGATGTCTATTGTTTCATGCAGAGGGATCTGAGTGAATTGCGAAGTCACATCGAAGGAAAGCATGATTTTGTCATGTACAGTGAGTTGATTCACCTCTTCAACAAATTGGAAGGAGTCTTTTAGAGTATGTTTAGCTAGACGTTGTCTGACAGGTGCTAATCTATCGGCTAACCAGCGGGCAAACTTTGTTTGTGAAAGGGTGAATTCACCATTGAGAGTATTGGTCTCATTGGGCAATTATTTTTATGTATCTCCGGTACACCATACATTTATGGCAGACGAGACCCCATGGGTGTTTACTCATTGTACGTATGATTGTCAATCATTTTCTTTTTCAATAACTCTCTCTCTCTCTCTGAGCACTTTCGTGACTTTCTTTTCTGCCGAATCCGTCATATCCTTCTTGCAGTTAGTTATCAATCTTAGATTTCGACGTGTCATTCAGAATGGACTCCATTTTTGGACATATTCAGCCTTGTTCATCACTACCACGCGTGAACCTTTGTCTGGTCGCAGTATGGCGATATCTTCATTGTTGAGCAGAGATTTAATTGCTTTTCGGTGTTCTTTCGTCATGATTCTCGACTCTTGAATTGGTGAGCACAGGTACTGGTTAGAGATATCAACTAGTCTTGATTTGAACCAACCTTTCTTATCCACACTAACAACGGGATGTAAGTCGGTTAACTGGTTGAACGAATTCTCGAATTGAACTTCTGTGTCTATTTTATTCACAAATTTTCTCAGTACATGGAGCTTGAAACTGAGTGAAAGGGCCTCAATTTCAGTTTGATTTAGCTTTACACTTGATTGATTGATAACATATTTTTCAGGGTTTTTCGGGAAGCCTTCACATAATTGTTATCAATCAATCAAGTGTTAGGCTTAATCAAACCGAAATTGAGGCACTTTCACTCGGTTTCAAGTTCCATGTAGCTACACATGGTTGTTCTTTCACTAATGTCTTCGATAGGGTCATGAAGAAGTTCTCACTTGTTTTGTTTTGAAGACCTCGCATGAAATTTATGAACTTGACTCTGCATACGATGTCTAAATCATTGATAGTGTTTCTAAAAGAGCTAGCTTCTGTTTTCAACTTCGTAATCAGCCGTTTCGTCGGTACAATATTGAACTTTGTTAAGCGTCTGAGATTTTTCAAGGAAGGAGGAAGTTTACATGAACGAAGGTTTTTTATAAACTGACCATGGAAACAGCAGGAGCATAGACATTGATCATAAAATTTCAGTCGAGTAACTTCGCGTGATATTCTGCAGCGTAGGGTCGCCTCACCAATTGATTCAGCGACTTGAATATGAAGCTGCAGGGAGGCGACGTTTCAAAAATTTTATACAATGATTCCCTTGGATCTGTCAAAACATCCATCCACCAGAAACGTACATAGAATGAGAACAACTATCTAGTTTTATAGTTGAGTGCTTATATCCAGGAAAGGGGACGTAATTCACCTGCTCTGCTTTAGGACAAAAACATCTGTAGTTCTGACTACGTTGACTCAAAACTTTCTTCCCTATAGAAAGCCACACTTGCAGAAAACAGCCACCCGAACCGATTTATTGACAAAAATACGAAAGATAAGCAGTCCAAACGGGTCACTGACTCAGTTCCAGAGAAAGTCACATTCATGAATTTGGAATTCAAAGATGATCAGGCTTCAGATATGCTCAGAAATCGTCTCCTTACATCACTGGGTAAGACGCTCTTTGCTGGAAAATTACAATTGACTTTCGTCAGTTGTGAGTTGTTCTCCATCTCTGTAGTAAAAGACAACCCCTCCCCCTCGTCTGGCCGCCTCCATATACATCTATCAGCTGACCTGCTCTTGTGGAGCAAGGTACATTGGCCGTAACCAGAGGAGGACGTTTTCTACACGAATAGGAGAACGTATTTCAGCTTAGTTTTGGAAGGAAAAAAAGGAGGGTGAGGAGAGATGTATTCTACAATACTTGATTTCGACTCCTGTTACTCAACTATGTAGAATCTGTATTTCTGCATTGGACGTAGAGGGATAGATATATGCCTATCTACCGATCTATTTTTATTATTGTTACTCATTGTGTTTTTCATTTGCTTGTTTTGTCGATGTAACTTCTCCTCATTACTACTACTGTCATTATTATTACTGCTATTCTCACAATTTTGAAGCATTTCCACTAGACGTAAGTAATCTGGGTGAGTAGTAGTCTTCTTCTTCTTAGCCCCTAATTAGTTGGTATTGATAATTGCATGTTATGCAAGTAATTATTATTTTTCATGGTATAGTATGTAACTTTTGGAGTTATTTGTTTGTTGTTTTTGTTTTTCACCGGTAATATGATGTGTTAAATGTTTTTCCTCAATATAGTTGGATCGGAACTATGAAAGTGTGAAGGTGGCAGTGGCATTCAATCTCGTGGATGAGAGTCACCAAGAGTTAATGTCTACTCTAGTGTAAGATATGGTTCAAGTATTTTTGCCTTATTTAAACTGGTAATTATGAGCTTTATTGGTAAAATAGTTAATATATGATTTGGTATCGAGTTGAATGTAGAGGGCTTCAACAACACAACTCCATTGAATTCTTTCCTGTGAAGTTGCTTTCAGCTGGCTTAACGATTGCCCAGAGGCTCTAATCTCCTTCACATGGTCTCCACCATGTCACCCTCGGAATGATGTCCAACTCATGGTTTCCCATACGGGTTCCACTTGAGTCAAGTGTGAATCGTCCAGAGTTTTCTTATCGGTCCAGCGTATTACTGTCTTCCCTCTCCCCACTCTCCGTTTACGGAATAATCCAGTCCGCCACAATCAGGAATATCAATAGTGACATTAATCAGCCTGGTTTTACTCCTGTCTTCACTTCGAAAACATCTCTGAGTTTTCCGTTGTGAATCACTTGATATGCATGTGGCATTATCATGTAGCTGTTGAGTGAGGTTGATAAAGGTTTGCCCACTTGACTCCATATTGCTTAAACTGTCTCCAAATTATTTCACAGTCTTCGCTGTCGAAACCTTTCTGAAAGTCGATAAAGTTGAGGTAGACATTTGACAACCATGCTCTCTACTCTTTTCGATGGTCCGTATTTAGTGCATCAAGAGGAATTCCGCCTCGTCCTGCAGTTCTCTCGGACTTTTGCAGCTTGATTGCATTGAACACTTCTGCTTCAGTTGGCGAGCTAGTGTTCGCTGACAGTTCTGTGGCTGTTGGTAGTATTGCTGAACGAGTTTCAGGTGATGGTCGGCTCAAGAATCATTTGAAGTAATCAGCCGATTTTGTCCTCTACTTCTCCGCCTTGATAATCAGCTTCCCCTGGCTACCTTTTATTGGTTTCTATAGTGTGTAGACGACCTATGGCTGGTGATTTTTCAAGCTTTTCTAGTTCACTGACTGAATTTCTCGGTGATCAAATAGATGCGCTATGGTGCCTATTCCGTCTGATTTCGATATCTCATGATGTTTGTCCGATGTATGTATATCGCATTACATTCATTCCAAGCGCTTTATTTTATAGAGACATATAGATAGAGAATCCTAAGGGATTTGATCTTTTATACGAACCCGTACGAACCGAGATTTTTCGTTTAGTTATGGTTAGGGCTATTAAAGCATTCAAACGTTTGTTGAATAATTTTGGTCTTGTCGTCAGTCTCCTCTGTCTGTATGTGCCGAAGTGTACTTAAAGTGATTTTGATAATAGGACTACCACTACTACTGCTACTACTACTACTACTACTACTACTACTACTACTACGTAGAACGGTGATGTCAGTTCATCTGTGTGACCTGCTTTACTTACGGCTGTCATATAAAAGATATTGAAAGTGTAAATTGCATTAAGGCTAGGTCTTCGTGTCAATCGTTCATGTTAAGTTGAACTGCTGTGTTGTAAATAATAGTCAGGCGAGGTAAGGTGATGTTAGGTTAGCTTAGGTAAGACAAGTATGTTAATAAATGTTCGTCATTTGAAGTGACTCAAAGACAAGGTGGTATATACACATGGGTGGGTTGGTGTGAATCTGTAATAAATGTGATGACTTTATTTTGCGTTAATGCATAATACTATGTCGGAGTTGACAGGTACTTATTTGGTAATATATATTGTCCAGTTGATTGCATTGCGTCACAAATTTGAGATACATGTTTTAGAATAACCGATACATGAATCCACTCTTGAATCGAATAATTATCCTAAAGACTTCAAGGATGAATGAAAACCTGTTGCTAAGAATTGGGTAAGTACAGCGCTGATTCCTTACCACAGAGAAATATGTGATGAAATAAAGCGAATCCCTAACGATCATAACATAAGAGTGTATTTTCGTGCAACTAACACCTTACGCTCATTCCTGGTAAAGGTTAAGGATAAAATAGAACAAGAAAACCAGCAGAATTGCGTATGCCAGATCAATTGTGGGGATTGTAACGCCGTATATTTGGGAGAAACTTCCAGACAGGTAAATATAAGAGTGAAAGAGTATAAACAATGCCTAAAGGTGGTTCCAAAGACCTCTGCAGACTTGAAGAAGCTAGAAAACAACTCAGCGATTGGACTGCATTCGATAGAAACGGGACACAAAATCGACTTTGATAAGACTAAGGTTTTACAGAAAGGTTTTGGTTCATATCAAGAAAGATTAACTGCAGAAGCCCTACATATATGGGTGAATCCCAACAGTTTAAACAGACGAGAAGGTGTGATGTTAGCCGATGCATGGCAAATCCTGATTAATAAATAAAATTGGATATGTATCAACAACTAGTCACACTTGGTCAAATTCCCGATTGTCTGCGTCTTCTTATGGAGAGAATGACAAGTGTTTTTTTGACTGCTCACCCACACGCACATACGCACACCATCGTATACTACATATGCACATATATTTTAACAAAAGTTGAAAGTTTGAGCTCAAATTTTGATCACAGTTCATACAATTTTTGTTTATTATACCTGTTGATACTTGTTTCATGACTCATGATTGGACAAAATTTCAAAAACAAGAGATGTTCCTTTTATAAATAAACCTCTGTTATGTTAAATTCAATTAATTTCCTTGAAGAATTTCGGACCAGATAGCCGAACACGGGAAATGTTGGAATTAATCATTTCAATTTCGCTGAGATTTTACAAATATATTTTTTACAAATGTCTACTTCTCACTCAATTATTTTGCAACTATTCAGTCGATTCTTGATCACAGTTCATATAACTACCTACATATATATATATATTTTAAGCGTTTTTATAATTTCCTTTCTCTATAGAAATCGTTGTAGAGCTTTAAGAAAAAAGCTTAACATAACCGTACAAAACAGTATGAAAAATCGTCAACGTTTGATTGATATAACTCTAGAGAAATGTAGACTGCAAGACAAAATATGGCACTACACAAATTTGAATTCATCTCTGTCTTCAGAAATTGCAGAACTTCAGAGTAAACTAGCCAGTTTACACAATGAAAAACACTGTAGTAATGAAAATGCCAATATTGAGAATTCGGAACCAAAGAAATCTCATGGATTGGATTCAGGTTTGTAATAATATTTTTTATAAAAAGGTTACACGTGGTTATATAATTGTGGTTTTAACTATGCATACACACACGCAAACTCTGATGACGACTGTATTGCCGTACTGAATGCTAAAAAGGATTATTATTATCGTTCACTTGGGTTCCTAGTGGAACATAGGGCTTCAACTGCTCGTCTCCACTTGCTCCTGTCTTCTGTGGTACTTTCCACCTGCATCCATGTTAGTCCATACTGTTTCACCTCCTCTTCACACGATCTCCTCCATGTCACCCTTGCACTGACGTCCCACTCACCGCTTCCCTTTCGGATTCCGCTCAAGCTATGACCTGACTCGCGATGTCACCCAGCGGTCTTCACAGCGAGTGTCCAATCCACGATCTTCACTTTCTCCTGCATATTTGTTGGTCGGCGATTGGTTCTTGTTTTGTTTGTTCCCATAGTTTCTTGTTGGTGATTGTTTCCGGTCCGGCCATCTGATCTTCAGTATAGATCCAGAAAAGACAGTTGTTGATAAAGGTCAGCATGCAACGGGCTGTTGGAAATATTCTTTGTGACCAACCCGCCAAGTTTCTGATCCGTACAGAAGAACTGACTGATTTGACATGTTTGTATTGAAAATCCGACCGAATTTTGTTGTTGATGGTGGCTGAGTGACGAAGATTTCCAGATTGGTTTCAGTCAGGTTGATGAATGTGTTTCTCGCCAAGAAGGAGGAGGAGTGATAAACTCTGATAATTGGTGTGTGTCGTGTTGATCGTAGGGGGGGGGGAGTTAGAAAATTATGAATTCCATTTTGGTGAGGAGGAGTACACATCACACTTACAATTAGCCGATGAAGCGATTGCTTATAGTTGACTGAATTGCAGTCCATTGTGGATAAGATTTTATTTTGATAAATCACACAGTGTTGTGCAGTAATATTAACTGATGACCACGTTTCGAGCACAAGCTATTGCCACTCATAATCATATCAAGTCATTCACTCACTCAACTGTTTTTCTTCATTTATATACATGTGTGGAATCGATTAGACATTGGAATAAAAATCAATATAGGATAATGTACATTCAGAAATAATAATACGAGTGTTATCGATCAATTACAGTTAGATGGAAAATAAGACGAGTGTTTTTATGGACATAATAAGTTACTTGTTAGAATGTTGTGATGTTGGGGGTTTGAATTGAAATAGAATGTTAAGATTATTTATAATCCTCTTCTGGTTTGACCGGTAGTAATAATAATAATAAAAGGATAGGATTTAAGGTGAACATAGGAAAGGTGGAGACAGAGGTGATGAAAATTCCTGGCCAACAGCAACAACAACTGACAATAATCGGCATAAATAAGAGAGATCTGAAACAAGCAACATTCTTCACCTACCTACCTACCTACGAAGCATCGTTTCAACTGCAGGCGGACGGAACTGACGAGGATATCAAAGGAGGAATCAGAAAAGCCAGACAAGCTTTCATTACTCTTAAGTCTGTATGGAGATCAACAGCACTCAGCATGAAAAATAAGATCCGGATTTTCAACTCCAATGTGAAGTCAGTACTACCATACGGATGGATCAGAGACTTGGCCAGCGCGTCATAAAGAGCATCTCAAACAAACTACAGGCCTTCATTAACAGTTGTCTTTGCTCAATACTCAAGATCAGATGGCCTGCCAGAAAAGATCAGTAACACGGATCTCTGGGAGCGAACCGACTCAGCAGGAACCAATTGTGAAACAAATAGGCAGGAAGAAATGGAGGTAGATTGGCTGGCCATACTCTGAGGAAACCATCAAGTGACATCACTAGACAAGCCATTGCTCGAGTGGAACCAGGCCGAAGGGGAAGCGGCGAGTTGGTCGTCATTGCAAGGGTGACTTGGAGGAGGTCATGCGAGGGGGAGATGAAAATCATGTGGACAGACTTGGAGCCAGGTGAAAACTCTAGCAGAGGACCGAACGCATGGCTGAAGTCCTATGTTCCTCTAGGAATTAAAGGAAATAATAATAATATCTTCCATATCTCTAGTATTTGCATTGGGTCATTTCTGTTGCATGTGTTGGGTGTAGACTCGATGAACAAGGCAGGATTCAGTATCCAACCTCTCTCCACCTCCCTACATTACTTTTTAGAATTTCAACCCTCTCCTACCCTGTTGCGTGGTTGTGTGTCAATGTGTGGGGTGCAATTGCCGGGCCTTTCTTCTAAATTACCTATCCTCTGGGAGCCAACCATTTTTTATGAGCAATTGTTTGTGCTTGAAACATGGTCACATCAGTTGATATTACTGTACAACACTGTATGATTTACCAAAATAAAACCTTATCCATGATTGAGTTATGCTCTACCACAGTACCCAAGTTTTTTACTTTTATGCATTGTAGTCATTTGATTGATCTAAACACTGTGGTGGAATTAGGTAGGAATAACGTTATCGTCGTCGTTCACAAAAGCCTGTTTTTCTTTTATTATACGTTTGCAAAATAACATAAGAGTACTTAGAATTTATAAAATATCATGTATATTGTAGAGTATATGCTGTAGAGTTTTCATCAATTTCACATTTTTGATTTGAATATAGGGAAATGCGAACTCACGACTGACCTTGAGCCAACCAATCAGGGAACACAGTGGGTTTTGCACATAAAAATGATGTTTATTTACAAGAGAAATACATGAAAATACATTAAGCAGGATATTTTTCTTGAAACGATTCAAAAATACCTCCAAATTATAATGAAGAGTATCAGTTTTCAAGTTAGATCAGTCTGTATGCATGTATTCACCAACGTGACTGAAAACGAGTTCTTATTTTTCAGTCTTCCTCAAAACACCTCGATTGATTGGTTGGAGGGTTTCATCATGAAGCTGGGAGTACTGAACATCTGTTTCGTCTAGTTTGCAATTCTTCATCAGTGAGCACCCACAAGGCCTCGAACCCAGGACCTTTGGTTTACAAGGCGAGCACGTAGACCATTGAGTCACTGAGACCCGCCTATCCTATGACCAGCCCATGAATTCTAACGTCTATCAACCAATTCTTGACATAGCGCAACATCTTTGCCATGTCTTCTTTGATGAGTTTTTGCCTCACCCTTCAACCGGCTGAACTCTACTGGTCACGACTTGCCACTAGAACCATAGGTTAACTGTCTGGATAGGGTCAGTGAGCATCAGATTAATTAATTTTCAAGTATTGGTTTTTGTAGGGATTGTGTTTGATTAGGTGAAGGGTTTCATCGATTGAATCAGTATGGGTTCCACTAAAAGGATCGATAATTAATTTACTAGGCAAATGTGGGTAATAAAAATAATGCTAACTCTAATCTTAATTGTAACCCTGATTACAGCTCTGACCCTAATCATGACTGTGGCGCCTAACGAGCTATGTACAATTTGTCCAAACAATACTTAAAATCGAGATCTGTGCTCAGTGTTCAAAGTGACACTTTAGAGTAAATAGTCTGGTCTTGTTATCAAACGAGTAGTGTGCGTTCAAGGCCCCTAGAGCTTCCGGACTCCTGCTTGACCCGCCGTTACACTTTAATTTAGTCCGATAACATCCTTCATATGCATATTGCTGCTGCATTGTGTGCAAACACCGTCTCTTCTTTTCTCCATTCTGTCTTTCTTTCCTTTAGGTAAAACTGATAAAATTTATTTGGGAAATCGAGATCTTAATAAAGTGATGACGACGGCTATATCACAAGAATCACAAGAAAAAGAAAAGGCAGAAGAAAATACTTCAACCAAATTATCCCTGAGAAATGATGGAGGTTCTACAACTACCACCAGTACTACTACTACTACTACTACTACTACTACTGGTATTAGTAGAAGTGACAGAATGGTGGCATTGGAACAGCCTTCAAGAATTGTTCAATGCAATGAAGTACCACAGGAGTGTACAACTTCGTGATTTAACAGAATCTTTCTTCCATCACCATCATCATAGATTACGTGGTAATGCTGATCGCCAGAAATGCTTTTCATTCCTTAGGAGCTAATATTATTATTATTATTTTACAATCAATATTACTTGGTGGGTAAAAACTTTATTTTCTTTAAACTACTACCCTGACATACTTTCGACTATTCTCTGTGCTATTTTGATTTATCTGTTCGTTTTTTTCTTGCATATTTTGTGGTACACATAAAAGAAGATAAATAGAAGTTGTAAATATCCCTTCTTGTGTTGTATGTAATTCTCATGTGCCTTGATTGATATTCTATGTGTTATGATGTGGCTCGCCGCTTTGGAAGTTGGAATAGTAGTCTCATTGTGTGTAGTTGGTTGACATTCGAAGGTGATGAATACTGCTACAGTACAGGTATGCAGCTGATATGTGTGTGTTGTTCAACTTTTAGGTGAACGGCAACACACATGGTAGGATAAGAGTTAAATAGTTGAATGTTATTCTTTTCTCTAAGTTGGATGGCAATATATATACATATATATCAAAAATAACTCACCCTATATTACACCGACTGATACGGTGGAAGATACAACGCAGACACCTATGATGATCAAAGACAGCTAGCCAGCCGCATTTCCATACCTTCCTCTTTCAATGGCTAAGTCTTGCAGCTACCCATCAAAGACGACTGGGCAAACTGCTAGGCATTACCTAAGTCTTTTGATTGATTACTAGCAGGATATCACGTTTAGGCCACACGAACCTTTGGTGTCCGTGCTGAGATTTCATCAGCGATCAACCAGTTGGCACTGGCTGATGCAACTCCCCAAATCAGTGAGAAGATCAACGTGCTCTACCACTTCACTCCCTATTTCGAAGTTAGTCAATGTAGTCCAGTCCCGTAGCCTCATCATCTTACATTTCGCGAGAGCAAATAGCATTCCTAGATTGCTAATCAAAGTGTTCAGATAACTGCATTTTGTCAGTGTCTTCACCTAGTTGGGAGGGTTGTATTACCTGCATATTCTAAGTCAACGAGATTATTTCCTGATGGTAACAAGCTAATCGGTGAATGTCGTTGAAGTGAGTAAGAGTTAAGTTCATTAGTACATCTGTGATGCAATGGGGATTGTGGGCATCCATCCGTGACAGACACCACTAATTGCCACCACTTCAGATAACAACTCTCCGTAGCATCTCACTTGGCTGACTTCATGAGTTCGAGTTTAGTACTTTGATCAGTCCCATGTATTTTCTCGGGATTCCCTTCACAGCCAAATATTTTCATACTACCTCTCGGTCGACGGAATTGAATGCCGTTTTAAGGTAAAGAAATATGACGATTGTTGGACGCCGATGGATATGACTATGTTCTAGAATCTGTTGAAGGGTGAAGATATGATCGTTACACCCTCTTCCTGGTCTGAAGTCTGGCTAATTTCCTCGTTTTTTTCTCCCGGAAACTACTTGATGTACGCATTATTGTTGAGTCTAGAACTTTAGATACCACATTAGTCAAGCTAATCCCCATGTGACTATAACAGGAAGACTTGTCTCCCTTCTTGTATATCGGGATAATCAATGACGACTTACACCAGCCCGACAGGACTTCGTCTGATACCCAGACGCTGGTTATTACCTTAGATAATGCAGACAGAAAACTGTCTCCGCCGTCCTTAAACACCTCAGGAGTCATTCCACCAGGTCCCGTTGCTTTGTCTCGTTTCAGACTAGTGATAGCTTTATTAACCTCAGTTCATGACGGTGGACCTCTGTTTATATCGGATTCAGGGAGGTGTGGGATACTGGGTAAGTTGAGCATGGCTGTGGGCCAATTAAATTGCTCTGTTAGGTATGCAATAGTGTTTGTGTGTGTGAATGGGAAAACAATTGTAAATCATTTGTTAGCCTCTAAATAAGAAGGTATAGACAATCGGGAATTGTAATTAAGTATGACTGATTAATGATACATATCCCTTTTTATTTATTAGTCAAGACTTGCCATACATCAGCTTACATCAAACCCTCAAACCTTTGGGATACACCCATAAATTTAGGGCTTCTGTGGTCAGTCTTTGTTTATACGAAGCAAAACCTTTCTGTAAAACCTCGGTCCTATCAGAGTCGATCTTGTGTCCCGTTTACGTCTGATTCCTTGCAATCGCCGATCTGTGGTTTTTAGATTTTACACGTCTACAGAGGTCTTTGGAACCACATTTAGGCATCGTTTATGCTCCTTCACTCTTACATTTACGTGTCTGGAAGTTTCTCCTGAATCTACAGCGCCACATTGCTGACGGTTGGTCTGGTACACAATTTTGTTGGTTTTCTTCCATTTTATCCTTAATCTTCATCCGTCTTGAGTGTAAGGTTTCTTATGTCAAGATTATTAAGGTGTCACTTTACTTCCCTGGTGTTTCCTTGCGTCAAGGAATCGCCACTGTACTAACCGAGGCCTCAACAACAGGTTTCGATTCATTCTTATCCTCACTCATAAAACTTCTTTTTATAAAGGCTTCGTTTCAAGAGTAGACTGAGCGAATTTTAGTTCCCTGTTGATCTCCTCCACCTTAGTAACTACATGTTTGGCTCTCTTAAATCAGATTCTTGGCCACAGTTTGATGGTAAAGCTATGTACTGAGGTCTAGTTTAGGTATCTTTCCGAATGTGTTGGCTTTCTGAAGATGTTTGCTCTAAGGTTGCATTTAGTTGTCTTTTTAGTGAACAATCCAGGGAAGCCAAATCATTTGCGTAGGAAGTGGGGACTGAATGCGTTGGTTTATATCATAATGAATTAAATGAAGTAGTGGTGTGCGTCAAGGTGGTGAAAGGGATTTTGAGTGATCGATAAAAAATCTTTCGTGAAGTCGTTGGTTCAATGTTTGAATTCATCGGAAGCTGAATCAATCGATCCTCATCTCTCGTTACAACTTTATATAGACTAATACAAAGATAGACCGTGTGATCTAAGTTGAGGTTGAGAGTGTTGAAGTATGCGGACAGGTCAACATTATCTACTATCTTCGTGCAGTCGGCTTTTGTCGCTGTAGTACGAAACATTTGAACGTCGACAGGACTTTTATTATACTCATAGAAGACTTAGCTCTTTCTTTCCCATTTCAACCTGGAGGACGAGAAACTGAATGCATATGAGATTTTCCGATTCTTCGAGATATGCGTGAATGCTTATTGTTTGTAACCGAAGAAAAAGGCGTAAGTAGCAGCCAAGAAACTGTTGGTGGGGGAAAGGGGTGAATCACATAAGTGATCAGAATAATTTCTGGTTCGACCATATAAGTAAACGTAAGTCGTCGTTGTCTGCCCAGCGATTGGTTTGAGTGTCGGATTCAATTTAAAGAGTATAGAAGTGGAACAAAAGCGCTGTTGATTTTGTCTTTAGATGTTTCCATTTGGAGATAAATAACCGCTTATATTTAAACATTTGATCCTACCACTAGATAATTACTAGCCGACGAAGTGTTGTAGACCGTATGATGATGTCATAGTGGATATATATCCATATCTATATGGGACTGAAGTCTCAGAAGTCAAGATTTTTAAATTGTATGAAGTGATGGCATGCATCACTGATGAATTCTTCTCGGAATGTCATCTAATAAGTGATATATTGTATCTCTGTGTTCTACGCAATTAAATAAACGAAGATGGAATTATGCTGTATTGTACTGTGCCAGAGAGTGTTATGCTCTTGTGCACTCTTTCTTCTTATGAGACTTTATTTCTGAATAAGAACGTAGAGAAGAAAGTTAGATGACATCGAGGTGATAAGTGTCTGCATACTTTGTGTATTTCTGACTACATGTTAGGCCTACCATTCAGACGAAATACCAACGAATGTTCGAAAGGGTCAGGCGAACAGTTTCCAAAGTGGGAAGGACCACATATGGTCACTTTGAGATGGGGTTACGCAGACACAATCGCAATGGCAAACAAAGAGAAACAGGTGAACATCAGCGAGTTCCGCGATTCCAGGCAGCAAGACGAACGAACGAACAAAGTGCTCAGAACCAAGAAGACCGAACCAACTTCAGTCGGGAGGATGGGTGTGGTGAGAACAGGCTGCTGGCCAAATCGGTAGACAATTATTTACGTCAATGTGTATGACCCAAACATTGGTCGTGAGAAAATATGAACAAAGACTGATTCAACAACCAATCACAACAGACTTTGCGTAGGCAGATACAGTTAACATATAGATGATCTGAGATTCGAGAAACAGTCACAAAGAGATGCAAGGTTAACTTTCTGTGAGAAACAACAAATCAGAAGAGTGTATTTGTTTGCTTGAATAAGCTATAATAATGTACATGAAAATATATAAATACGTGTTGATTTCCTTAATAGACGATCTGTTTGGCTGGCCCTTGTCTTCTGTTTTTACAATAGTAGCAGTGACAATGACACACAGAGCAGTAGACAGCTTCAAGAAAATAAAGGCGTAATCCTCGTCCGTCTAGATAAGGGCAATGGGATTGTAGTAATGAATAGGTCCGATTATAATGAGAAATTGACAATGATAATAATGCTAATGGTTTTATCAATAATAAAGATGAAAAGGTGAAGCAGTCTGTGATAAGACGAATAACGAAAACCAACATGATTAGACAAACAAATGTTCAGGTAGAAGTAGTCGATAAAGGCAACGAAAAACAAATGAACTGACTAAGTAATGCTAGATTGTAAAGGAAATAAATGAAACACTTTTTTTAATGAAGATATGATAAGATTAAGGGATGGTAAGAAAGGGATTGAAAACATAAGTAAGGGGTGATGTAGAAGTCATCCCTTGGTCATATCTTAATAGGTCAACAAGGGAGGGATAATGGCTGTACGAACTTCTTTTGAATGCATAGTTTAGGTTTAATAATTCGAATGCCAATCTCCTCAGCTGTGTGCAGTTGACAAATACGAAGTCTATTGGAAAGATTCGTTGGGATGCGATGAATTACTTTGAAGGCTCTCGTTTTCTCCACTAAATGACCACTATCAATTAAATGTGACAAAATTGAACTAAGGATAGTTTTTGATTTGTCCTTCGCCAAACCACGTAGGGAGATGTTCACGAACACGTTGGCTAAGCTGCCTAGTATTTCGTTAACGAGAAATTGAGCATTTAAAAGCATAATTTTAGCAAACCCGCGCTGTTGAGAGGATAGCTAGTAGGTTTCCTATTGACTACCCCGGAAAAAGGGAAATCAGAAGACCACCAGGTTTACGATGATACTTGTATTTTCCAGACAAGGAAAAT